TGGCTCAGAGTTCTGCCTCAGTTTCTTTTATTGTAGGTTGGACGATTTTGGACCCCACAGAAGGGCAGAGGAAGAGGCAGGAAGTGAATAAGCATTTACATAGCTCCTATACCTGCTAGGCACTGTGTTTACAAATACTATTTTATTTGATTCTTATAAAAACCCTGGGAGATAGGTGTTATTATTATTCCAATTTTACAATTTAGGAAACTGAGGCAAACAGAGGTTAAGTGAGTAGCTCAGGATCACATAGATAGTAAGTATCTGAAGTAGGACCTCATTTCCTGTCAATAACTTACTTGGTAAATAACCATATACTAGAATTTTTGGCTCAGCTTTATTACTGCCATTTACTTAAGATGAGCAGGTCATATAACTAGCTAGAGCCTACATAATCAAACTGACAAAAAATTTTAGTTTTGTTAATGGTTAGTTTATAAATTCTAAGTGGTGTTTACTGATTAGTTTCATGTTTTACCTGATACAGATCTTCTCATCTGCTTTTTTTGCATAAATCTGTTCTTTATGTAAATCGTTAACCTCTCCTTCTGCCTTATAAAAAATTCTATTATGCCCATACTGCTCATGTAACTAAACCGAACCTATATATAAGGCTGAAACTGCTACTCTTGGCTCACTGATTTTTATATACAGTGAAACTATGCTAAGTTACATAGTGAATCAGTTTTACCATATCTCTGCATGTTGATGGTTATTGGCAGTAGTACCTATCAACGAATTCTTGGATAATTTTCTGTCACAAAACATTCCTATTAACTTTTGTTGTATTGGTCTTCAACAGTAAAAATTCACAGACACTACCCTTCCCCCCAGCAGTGAATTAGCATGTATTAAACCTGTAGAGTAGTTCTAGTCTAACCATGAACATGAATATCTTTCCAATTTCTTGAATTTCTATTAAAAAATTGTAATTGTATTTGTATAAATCCTTCATGTGTCAATGGCTGGTTAATTTTATCTTAAACAGAATTTCTCTTTCTCTCTCCTTCCTGAGTTTTGCTGGTAATTTACAGGAAGGTTAATGATTTTTATGAATCTAATTTGCTTCCTGAAAATTTATTCAAGTTATTTGTATTTTCCATTTTTTCATTGATTCTCTAGGGCTCTTTAAAACATTTTTTTTCGCAAAGAGAATTTTTCCTTTTCTTGGTATATACTTATTTCCTCAAGATGTTTTTCCTGTCTCATTACTAATGTTTCTAGCACCATGCCAAGTAATAATAGAGATAGTTGGCACGTTTGTTTTATGCAAGATCTTTTTCTGCAAAGGTTTCCAGTTATAAATCAAGCTAGCTCTTGGTTTCAAATAAACGGTTTTACTCATATTATTTTTAATCCTATGGTTTCTCAAATAAATGAGTGCCATACTTTATTGAAGTTTTTTTGTGAATATTTAATATTATCATGTGAATTTTAAGTGCCTACTATGTGCCAGGCACTGGGAACACAAAGATAAAAATTAAATACCTCACCCTTAAAGAGCCTGCTTTCTATGCAGAAAGAAAATATGCACACATGTAAGTATTCAAAATAAATGCAGATAATTGTGTGGGGTAGAGGGAGGCAATAGGTGCTGGGGGAATGTAGAATTTAGCTAAGTTTTCAAGGAAACTAGGGACACTAAAAGGTGGAATAAGGCAACTTAAAGCAATCAAGAAAGGGGTGGGAACAGAAACCCACACTGTCAAAAATTTTTTAAATGATGTCCTGAGGCAACTGACCTTTTGAAGAAGGAAGGCTTGCATACTTCTGGTGGGCCTAAAGAGTCTAAGAGGAAGGAAAAGTGAAAGCCTAGCCTCCCAGGAAGTTAAAAGTGTGACAATATAAAAAATTCTTCCCTAACCTGGACTTCTCCCATGTAATGGATAAAAAGTTTGAGGGACATAATTTCTGGGTAATTAATCATTTTATTAATTATGCTAGCAGATAATAAAAGGGGTCAGTGACACTTTCAAATGCCAAAGACCCCTCATGGAACCCATTTAACACTTATATACCCTTGGAAGAGTGGGTGTTCCTGAGGGTGGCATTCAACTCTGATTGGTTAACAGTTAATGAGAAGAATAAATATTATAATGAGAGATGAACTTAATTTTGATTATGTTATTTATTTCCAGACCTTCTCCAGCCTTGGGCAATCTAGACAAAGGATCTACCCTCCCTCCCCAAACCACCCCTTTCCCCTAGTAGAACTGAATGGGTTGGGTGGGGCAACAACTTCACCTAGATAAGATGGTCTAGGTGGGGTAAATTTTTGGGCAAGGATCAAGGTTTCCTTAAGGGAAAAAAAACCCTGATCTCCCCAATAACTGGTTATTTAATAATCATTTCTCTCACCCAGATTCTTCCTTCTCCCCTCCCTTATGAAATTTCTATTAGCTATTGGTTCAGGTCACTGTCAACAGCAACTCTCACTTGCCTGGCCCTCCCTCATTCCTTTCTCCTTTCATTTCTTCTCATGCACTTCTCCTTTTTCCTTCTCTCTTTAAAGACAAATATTTGTTTAGTTGTTTCAATCCTGTCTGACTCTTATGTGACCCCAATTGGGGTTTTCTTGGCAAAAATACTGAAGTGGTTTGCCATTTCCTTCTCAAAAAGACAAATATACTAAGGAAAAAAGGACCCCAAAGAGGTCAATGACAGAATGAAAGGGCCCATATGTATAAAGGTAGTCATAGCAACATTTTTGTTGTAGCAAAGAGCTGGAAGCAAAGTAGGTGTCCATCAACTTGGTAATGGCTGAACACATTATGGTATATAAATGTAATGGGGTATTAGAAATTACACAGACCCTCTGAAACCTGGCAAGATCCATGCAACCTTATGCCAAGTGAGGTAAGCAGAACAGAACAATGCCCACAATGATGTTCAGAATGCTGATATTTGCAGTGACCAATTATGACTTTCAGAAAACTGATAATGAAACTTAAGTCTTCCTCTTACCTCTTGGCAGAGGTGCTGGATAAGAGATACTTAGTTAGATATAGCCAATCTTATTCTATGTCTTCATTGCACATAGTTGTTTGCATATTGCCTCCCCCATTAGACTGTGAGTTTCTTGAGAGTAGGGACTGTCTTTTGCCTTTCTTTATATCTTCAGCAATACTCAAAAGTGTCTGACACACAGTAACAGCCTGTAATATACGAAGTAGATATATAACATAAAATATACATAATAAATGCATAATGATTGATAGATTGACTTGATTATACTTATTTGCAAGGGGGAGGTTTTGATGAGGATGATGATAATAGCTAACATTTATTTAGCACTATGTGCAGGTAATTTTGATACCCGACTCAATTTAATCAGTATTTACTTAGTTCTTTGTGATTTAACAGGTATAGCTGATCATGTTAGTGAATTAAGCAGAATAGAATTAAGTTTGAATTAGTTATGTTACTACTGTTAGAATGAGTGTTATAATTAATTAATCTACAATGTATTGACAATTATGTTTGATTTAATAGCTAAATCCATACTGTATTAATAGGGCATGTTATAAGAATTTATTAGTGCTCCACCCCCACTACTCTTAAGTATTATGCTTGAAATAAGGTTCACTTGCCACACCAATTTACACCCATAGAAATTACTACTGCTCTTTCCCCAGTGACCTTTGCTGCAAAACCACATCTTCCTTAGTCCCCTAGGATACTGCTGATCAAACAGTGGTGTTTAAAAGTTATGGAAAGCTTCTGTTGAGATGCTTGTAACTAATGATCTGTGAAAGGCTTGCTGACAAAAGTAGTTATGGTTGATGGACATTGCCCTTAGACTATCATAGGACCTCCCCACCACTTCTGAAAACTAGGCAACCATAGGAATTTCCATGCTTTTGAAGGAACTTCCCAACATCTTCTCAAGGTTTAAAGATCCCTCAGCCCCTGAGCATTTTGGTCCATGGCCTGAAAGGTCTTGGATCCCATTACTTAGGGACCTCCAGTCTCCCTAATAAATTGACCACTGCTCCAAGCTCTCCTTCAGTGGTATTATACTGAGGATTGGGAATTTTTGGGCCCACAACTTTACAATTATTGTCTCATTAGATTCTCACAATAACCCTGAGAGGCAGATGCTATTATTATTCTCATTTTACCAGATGAGCAAACTGAGGCAAACAGGGTTTAAGTGACTTGCCCAGAGTCACATAGCAAGTAAGTTTCAAAGACCAAATTTGAACTCAGGACATTGACTCTATGCCCAGCACTCTATCCCTGCACCAAAAGTCGATGCGTAGTGATGCAACACACACACCAGAATCGAGTTCATTAAGGGGTAGAGCCAAGCAGGACAGTTTTGTTAACAGCATATTAAATTTAACGAAAGCTTAAAAAAAAAAAACCACAAATGGTCCACAATTTCACATACAATCCTCTTTTCTGGGCCTTCTTTGTTTAACAAAGAACTTAAATGTTTCCAATTTATTGATCGTTATGTCTGTAATTAAAAAAAAAGACTAAGGGCAGGACTTATCCAGGGCAGTGTCAACGACGTGAGATGGGCGGGGAAGGGGCGGGACCGGAGGCGCGCGCACCCCCGGCAGCCAGACTTCCGGATGAAGCTAGTATCTTGTCCTTTTTCTCCCCTCCCCCACCCTTCCGCCGCTTCCTCAGGCAGGCTCGAGCCCCAGCATGGCGACGGGATAGCGGCGGAAGGAGGTGAAGCCGAGTGAGTGAGTGAGTGAGTGAGTGGAGTCTTAGTCAGGTGAGGAGAAAAGCACAATTGGAGATGGGGGTGGAGATGGTTGGAGGTGGGTGGTTTGGCTCTGCGGACCGCGGAGGTGGGCAGTGAAACGAAAGGCCACGCGCCTGTGCGCACGCGTGCATCGGCCGGGAAAAGGATGGGGAGATGGGGCTCTCTTGGTAACGGGTGTTCCAAAGGCCTAAGGGTTGGGGGGCGGGGGGGAGCAAAGTCCGCATGCGCAGGCCGCGTGCTCCTCGGACCACGCCCCTTTTCTCTCAACCTCCAACTTGCTCCCTTCCCCTTCGGCGCGGGCGCGCGCCCTCTTCCCTCACCTTCCCTCGACTGAGGAATTTTCTCCTGAGGCTACGTCTGGGGCTCCCTTTCCCGGCCCGGCCTTCCCCCGGGCTGGGAGCCCGGCTCTGCGACGGAATTTGTGGCGTTTCCCTCCCTTGAGCTGGCGGGTAACCGCCCGAGGGCTGGTGAGGGCTTCAGGGCTTGGATGTCAGCGCCGGCCTGGGGTGGGGCGGGGTTTTGGTAGCTGACCCTGTGAGGGAGGATGGACTCAGGCGGGGGGGCGGGGCGGGGCGGCCGGGGGTGGGGGTGGGGAGGTAGGCATAAAAACAAATCTAATCGCACCCCTTTTTCTGGCGTTTTAAGGTTTCTCATGTGCTTTCCTTAACCAGCCTTCTGTGAGGTAGAGAGTGAAAGGATCATTCCCATTTTTGCCCTTTTTTTATTTGTCAGGAACTGGGGATGTCATCGATGGTGGGGAGCTCTTTCTGAGGAAACTCCTCTGCCTGAGGCAGATCCGCAACTGTTCTGCAATTTACAATCAGTCTTAGAAGGTTGACTCCGTTTTACAGATGAGGAAACTGAGTCTCATAGGTGAAATGACTTGCCTAAGGTCACACAGCTAGTATGTATCAAAGCTGATATTAGAACCCAGGTTTTCTTTACTCAAGTCCCACACCACACTAAGTAGAAGGGATCAGTTATTTCCAAAATGGCCTGGTTGTGCATGTGTGTGTTCTGTGTATGTTTTATGTTATTTTATACAGCAGTGGAACCACGATCTTATTAGTATGGATATAATTGTAGAATGGAAGTTCCTAGAATGGAGCTTCTTAACCTGGGGCCCATGGATTTCAGGGGAACTGTGAACTTGGATGGGAAAAAAATTACATCTTTAATTTAACTAACCTCTGACTAAAATTTAGCATCTTTAATTATGAAGTTAAAAAACAACATTCTGAGAAGGGGTCCATATGTGGTTTCACCAAATTGCCAAAGGGCTCCAGGATACAAAAAAGGTTAAGGAACCCTGTCCTAGAGAGCAAGGGCTATTTCATTTTTTGTCTTTTCACTCCCTAGCATAGTGCCTTGTATACTTGGTAGGTAATTTAACAAATATTTGTTGATTTGAATTATCTCCATACCTCTTTCTTTGTGATTCTCCTTCCATAAATCCTTCATATAGGGATCTGCACAATATGCTGAAAGCCTTCTTTGGGTTCATACAAACCAGTGCAGTACTCAGCTCTCATTTGTTATCCCTCACTCTGAACGTGACAACCTGTCTCCTTTTCCACTTATGCCGTGCTTTTACTGAGGCTTAAGTCATTATATCAAATTGATATATTTAAAGTCCTTTGTAAATTAAAAAAGTACTGTAAATGTTAACTATTGTGATTCTATTTGTAGCTATAATGACATATTTATATAACACTTTACTGGAAACAACCCTGTGAGGTTGATCTTGTAAAGATTATTATCCTCCTTTATAGATTAAGAAATTGGCTCAAAAAGGTGAAGTGACTTACCTTGCAGTTAGTGAGTCTGTTGGAGCCAAAATTTGAATCCTGGTCTCCAGAGTCTAAGTTGGGTCAAATGTTCTAGATGATACATTGACCTGTCTTCAGCCTCCAAATCCAGTGTTCTTTCCACTACATCAAGATGGCTTTCTACATCTGATTTTACTATTGATGTTGTATATATGTAGTGCAGTGGTGTCAAACTCAAATAGAAAAGGATCCCTGTGGGTGGCAAATTGACTTAGAAAACCACAAATTAACATTATCTATACTGTTGTATTTTATTTGTCATGTTAATTTTTTCTTAATTCAGATGTTAAACATTTTAATCTGGTTCAGCTGCAGTTTGAGAATTTTGAGGTCCAGTGTGTTTGACACCTCTGGTATAGTAGATTAGGGTATTGGTTATATCAGGAGACCTGGGTTCTTGTTCTGGCTCTGTGACTTTAGGCAGTTTCCTTCTTTCTAGACCCTAGTTTTCTAGTCTGTAAAACCGGAGGATTCAAGTCAGTTCAACATCTTGAATTTGTCTCCTCTTTCTACTGTAGCCATCTTTGTATAGGCCTCATATTGACCAATCTACCTATTACAATAACTCTTTATGAGTCTTTATCCACCTTTTTGTCCCTCCAGTCTATGCTTTATACCATTGCTAAACTCATATTCCTTCTGTATAGTCTTGTCATGCCTCTATTTAAAAATATTTAGTGGCTCCCTATATTTGCTAAGTAAAGCAAATTTCTCAGTGTGGCATTAAAGATCTTCCACAATCTGGAACACTCCTGTATTTGTAGTTATGTCTTTTTGTAAATCTTAAAGTGATATACAAATGTGAAATATTATCATCTTACTCCCCTTCCCATTGCCAAATTGAACCTACCTGCCCCTCTTTTACCAGTATGCTCTGTGCTTATCTAAAAACCTTGTTTCTTTGCTGTATATAAGGCCTGGACTATATTCCCTCCCACTTTACCTATTGAATTCCTACCCATCTTTTAAGAGCCCAGTTTATATGTCAACACCTGTATAAGCCCTTCCCTGAATTCCTCCAACATTCTATCAACTCCTTAGTACCTCATATAGCACTTTATTTTGAACCTAGCTAATGTAATTATGTATTAACATGCATATTATAGTTATGTATATATTTTCCTTCTACACTGGAAACCATGAGGACAGTAACTTTTCTAAACTTCTTATTTCCCTAGGGCTTAGCCTAGTCCCTTTAGCAATGCACTATAATAGGTGCATAATAACTATGGAATTGCACTGAAAACTTAGTAAATTTTCCTATGTGCAGAAATATGATAAAAACATTATCCCTTCCCTTATGGAATTCAGTATAGTAAAGGGAACTGATAAATACACAACTAAATGTAACAAAAGTAATACATTTTAAGTACAGTAGCAATTTCAGGATTGTACAAAATCACTTTGGAAGTCCTTTACATCTCTTGACATTCTGTGATTCTTTGTATTTGGGAGATTATACTTAGATTTATCCCTTTAAAAAAATAAGACTCCTGTCGAGCACATAAAAACAAAATATAGATAATTGAAAGCATCTTGTCAGTAAACAGTTTATAAAGAGATACATGGTATTCAGGAATGCTGCCTGATTTAAAATAATGGTCAGTGTCTTTTTTTTTTTTTAAAGCAAATGTATTACTAATATATGCCCAAAGAAGTATATGTTTATGCTAACTGACCTAGCCAGAAAGCTGGCCTCAGACTTGGCTTTTTGGGGGGGGGGGGGGGCCCTACACAAGTCACTTAACCTTTCAGTGCCCCAGCCTACTCCCTTAAGATTTAGTTAAGGAGAAAGCTCCAATCTTTATATGCTATAAAAATGTTTATACATAAAAATATGTGTAAAATTCTTACAAAATTGTTTATTTGAAAGTATAAATGGTACTGCCTTAGAATTACCCTTGTAATCCTTTTATCTTAATTTTGAAACTTTTTTTTTTAGATTATGTATGCTGCTGTACCTGAGGTCACTCCCTCTGAAACACTCTTCAAGTGTCACCAGAGTCTTCTTAGTGCCTTCTCCAAAGGGCCAGTCAGTGTTGGCAGCAACCCAAGAAAATAGGCAACCTCTGGAGTGTCCAAAATCTTTCTTGTTCTTTCCATAAGCTTACAAAAAGCTTTTTAAAAAATTATTTTATTTTCAGGTCTGCATTCTCTCCTTCCTATATTTTTCTTCTCCCATTCCCATCCCATGATAAAACAAGAAAAACAAAACACATTACTAACATGTCATAGTCAAGCAAAACAAATTCCTACATTGGACATGTCCAAAAAAAAAAAAAGCAAAACAAATTCCTACATTGGAAATGTCCAAAAAAAAAAAAAGGATTTCCTCAAATTGGACTCCCAAGACTCTCTGAATGGAACTCACTTGCCTTTTGAGGCAGCACATTCCATTTTTGGGCAGCTTTGTAATTGTTAGGAAGTTTTTCCTGATGTTGAGATTAAATTTACCTGTTTCTCCTAGTTGTTTTTATAAAAACCATCAGAAATCTATCTTCTTTCCTTTTTATCCCCACCAACTTGCTCCATTGAGAGTGAAAGAAAAACAAATCCCTTTTATAAATGTATTTGTAGTTAAACAAAACGAATTTCCACGTTGGCCATGTCCAAAAAAATGTCTCATTCTATGTGCTTAAATCCTTCACCTCTTTATTAGGAGGTGGGTGGCCTACTTCATCCTAAGTCATATGAAATCATGGTTCATGATTACTCTGATCAGAGTTCCTAAGTATTTCAAAATTGTCATCATATTATTGGCACTATGTAAATTGTTCAGGTTTTGTTCACTTCATTCTACATCAATTCATGTAAATCTCAGATTTCTTTGAAACCATCTCCATCATTTCTTATAGCACAACAGTATTCGATGACATTTATTATAACTCATTCAGCCATTCCTCAATTGATGGGTACCCTCTCAGATTTCCATGCTTTGCCCCCTCAAAAAATAGCTGTCAATATTTTTCTGCATTCTTAGAGTTTGTTTTGCTTGGATTACTTCCTTCCTTAATCTGTCTTCCTAATTACTTTCTGTTTCATTTCCCTGTTCAGTGAGATGCTTTGTTAAGAATATAAACTCTTCGTGTTTGTGTATATTCTTCAAACTTTTAACCACTTCAGATAAGAATGAGGTTGAAGTGTCAGCTGCTTCCTCCATCCCCTTCTCGTTTATATAGATGTCTGCTAAGCGCATACTGATTATGTGAGATAATTTTTTAACCTTCCTTTCCTTTTTCAGAGCCACTCCCACCCTCAGTATTTTACTCTTTCCATTCTTAAGATCATGAAGATATAATAGATTTACTCACAGGTCTTCTGTCTAATTAGATTTCCTCTCTGATCCCTGATGATGATGGGCTTCAGTGGGGACAAGGTATCATCTCCTGTATTAGAATTTAAGCAATTTATCCTTACTTAGTCCCTTAAGGTTGTTTTTTTATGTTTCTCTTAGCTTATATTTGAACTTCAAAGTTTCTGTGCAGCTCCAGTCTTTTCATCAGGAATGCTTGGAAGTACTCTATTTCAATAAAGTTCCGTTTTTTTCCCTTGTAGCATTATACTCAGTTTTTCTGGGTAAGGTATTTTTGACTATAAGACTATGTCGTTTGCCTTTTGGAATATTGTATTCCAAACTG